ATGGCACCCATCGATATTCCTCTGCAACAGTGCTGTGGCAACCACTGAAGTGTTGTGGCCTTTCAAAGCTTTCCTGTATAAGTTTACCTGCTCAGTTTTATTCATGTCCAACTGACATGTTTTGCCTCAGCACCGTGAACTCCTGTATGCAAACGAAGGAAACTGAAGGTTGGAGAGTGTCTTCTGCTCCTCCTGCCCTGCCAAATACCTCCAACCCCCTCCAATGAGGGAGTGCTGTTGCTGAGTTCTTAATCCCTGGAAGATGGCCCTCGTCTGCAACGGAGGTCTTCCTGGCATGGTGAGAATCAGATCCAAACCATTTCCTCTCCTTAGGCACGTGGGCTACTAATGTGCCAAACTGTCGCAGTGACATTTCTAAATTCCTGGGGGGTTGTAGGTGATTTTCAATTAACAGAAAAAAGAGAATCAGAGAATCGGAAGCTAAACAGAGCTGCAGGGAGGCGCGCTGCTGTCTCTCGCCACTGGGGCCCTGGGTTCAGGGTTGTGTGTCTCCCTCTGCTCGTGTGGGGTTCCTCCGGGTGCTCTGGTTTCCTCCCACAGTCCGAAGCCATGCTGGTGGGTTCAGTGTCTGTGAGAATTGGGCCTGGTGTGTGTGTGTGAGAGAGAGTGTGTGTGTCTGTGTGCGCCCTGCGATAGACCGGCATCTCATCCTGGGTGTATCCCGCCTTGCGCCCCTCGCTTGCTGGAATAGGCCCCTCTTCCCATGCGACAGCGTCACAGGATGAATGGATGAAGTTAAATTCAGCGCACAACTCTTTATGGAAAGGTTCTTAATAATAACTTCAAAAAGTAAGACTTCTGTGACTTCCAGTTAAAGCATCCCTGCATGTCACTAAGGCATGTCCTCTGTAGCTTGGATCAAGCCATTGTGAACGTTTCAGCAGACAGAATTCTGGGAAGGATTACAGAATGCCAGGATGTGTGGGAGGAAAGCAAATCTGTGTTATGCCAGTGCATTAGCAAACCATTAGACGGCTGAGTGTGTGATATACAAATAAAATCTGCCAAATGTCTTGACTTGTCACCATTTCTCAGCTTGCTTTCAGGGGTTGTGTCAAAGGCTTCATATATGCAGGCTCTACTTCAGTACGTAAAATGTATAAAATACTATATACAATCCTATTCCCAGCAATGTCACATAATCTCAACAGGAACAAAAAGTAAAGCAATAGAAAATTGTAAAAAAAAAAAATTGAACTGCGCCATCAGAAAAATCGACTTAAAAACATCTCATCTTCTCCAATTCCCGGTAAGCGAGTATGCCTTAAACGGACACTAGGGGGAGGTGTTTCCCAGACGATTTCACAGCATCCAGGAGGTTGCAAGAAAGAACGTCGTCGCCATCACTAATATTATTGCTAGACTTATTACTCTATAAATAGCTCCTTATAAGATACTTTATTAAACTACCTATTGTAAATAAGAGATTACGTAAAACGCGTTGTCGTTTGCTTTCTTCTGTATGCAGCCCAAAGATGGAAAATACTTTTAGAATACTGCACAATTTATATCACTGTTTTCATTCATTGTACAGCAAGCCAATGCTAATAATCTTTGTGAATTTAAAATTGTATTTACTGCAATCATTCCACCTATTCTAAAACGCACCTAATTAAATTGTGAAACGGGAAATATCTAGTTATGAGTAAATGTCCCTGTTTGCGTACCTATGTCAGTATATACTACGACATGAAACATTGTTATTTTTCGTTGAAAATTGTTGCAGTTAAAATGGGTGGTCGAACACGGTGAAGAGCAGTTTTGTTTTATTTATATCTTGTATAGGGATTTCGAGATTTAGAGTCAGTTGTTTAGCTGATCTTAAAACATACGACTCATGCATATATGCATTTTTAACAAGGCGGTGTCCTGTGAGAAAAAAGGGGTCAGGGGCGTGATCGCTGAAAAATTAATCCTGCACAGTATTCTCTCAATAATTTAATTTATACTGCTAAAGTTCCTTCTGAGTAATATACGAGAGCAATCACTGGTCGCAGAGCATTATCTCATTTATCTTTCTTAAGCAAATGTAATGTTTGCTTTTTCAGGGTCAGCTTATATTGGTACATGAAAGTTTTTTCTACACTTATTTTGTCCTGTTCCTCTCGGCGCGACGGTGAAGTCGTGGATATATACAGTCCAACTTGAAACAAGGTAAGGTGAAGCAGAAACGGTGAAAACGCATTAATAGTTGAGCAAACAGCACGCCCCTTGGTATGACAGTGTGAAGGCCAAAGGTCACGTGCTTGAACCTAATAGTCAATGGGAGAGAAAACAAGCACTTAGCAAGCCTTATGTCAAATGTCCTCTTGTCGAATATAGTTGACAACATCCACACCGTGCAGACAGGGCACCAGCCTGGGTCAAGAGAACAACAGATCTGTGAAATACCGAGCAGCTCTGTGTTCGGTCTTTATTATGAACACTTGTAATAATGGTGTTTGTAAAGCAAAGTGCAGTTATTGCCGAAGGTTTGTTAACCATTTGCAAATGACAGAGGCCTTAGCCATCTGTGTGCATCACAACAAGCAAAGAGACGGGAATTTGAATTTATTTGCTGATTTACGGTTTGATCCTACCAGCGGTATTTACTGGGCACAGAAATACATATTTTGTCCCATTTTTCCAAGTCGTTGCTCAGAGTTGTGCTGGCTCCATGAAAAGCATCACAATGTGAAAAATGCAGGGAACTATCTCAAATAATGCATTAGAGAAGCAGGGTAGATCTGAGCTTTCTAAATGAGGCATAAAAGCATTTTCAATAATTATTCATGTCTCTGGTTTCACAATGACTGTGGGAGCTATTGGAGGTTCGTGGTTGTGTCTTCACAGTACCTTTCAGTTGTGTGAAAGGGTGGAGTGGTGGCTCTGTGGCTAAGGATCTGCACCTGTGGCTGGAAGGTTGCCGGTTTGTATCTCGTGGCTGGCAGAGGAATCCCACTCTGTTGGGCTCTTGGGCAACGCCCTTAACCCCAACTGCTCCAGGGGTGCTGTATAAATGGCGGACCCTGCACTCTGACCCCAAGCTTCTCTCCCTGTCTGTGTGTCTCATGGAGAGCAACCTGGGGTATGTGAAAAAACAAATTCCTAATACAAGACATTGTATATGGCCAATCAAGTGATCTTATCTTATCTTGAGCATCAGTCCCACTAAAAGAAAGTAACACAGTCTGAATTAATCCTGTGAAGCACAGTGGTATAATGAGTCTAGACTGCAGGAGCCCAGTGCCTGGTACTGACCTGCAAGAAAGCTCAGAGTTTAGCTGAATTCGATTTCATTCTTCAATGGTCAGCCTGCATGACGAAGTTAATATATTACAGCTGCCACTTCTCATGTCATAGAACTGCTCACTCCTACTGGAGTGACCTTGTGCTCTTAGAAGCTTGACCAGTGGACTTGAGACTATTACAAATTCACTAGAACCCCCCATTACCCCCCCTCCTTGTGCAGCAGGGAGGAGTAATGAGTAGGGTTCTGCTCCTGTGACTGGAATGTTGTGGGTTCAAATACAGCTGTTACACCCTTCAACAAGTTCTTTTAGTATGTGGCTCTATGAACAGGTGTAAATGTAAGTTGCTTTGGATAAAAAAGTATCAGCCAAATAAATTAGTAAGAATAAAATAAACCCATACTCAGCACAGGGGTTCGTGCGTGTCTGTGTGAAACTGGCCCCCTACACCATCTTTTCTGAGCTGATGGGACATGAAACAGTGACTCTTTTCACAATCTATCGAAGGGGCTGTTGATATAGCCAGAGAGGCCTATTTGAATAAGGGCCTGTCTGTTTTTTTAGTGGAGTCATCGCAAGTCTGGTTTTACACTGGCATTGTGGTGAGATGTGTAAAGACACCAGCCAAGCACATCGTTCGTGTGTGCTTTATCTGAAAGATGGGCTGTGTTTCAGGGTTCAAGTCCAGCTTTGCGCTTCTTGACCCAGACTCTTAGCAGATGTCATAAGTCCGCTCCACAGCAAGGGAACCAGGTGAGTGATGAGCCTGGAGGCTAAAGTCCAGCCCCACCCTCCCTGCCTACCCCAGCTGTGATGGTAGCCTAATTTAGGAGAGAGTGTGTGAACTGTAGTCATTCCCTGGGATCAAGGTGTTCTCTCTAGGTCTATCCAGAGCCTTTCAGGAGAGCATTGAATAAGTGACACCGATATTAAAAAATATTGTGCAGCGGGCCAGAAGACCTCGCTGCGTGCCAACAAATTTATTTCCATGATCTTGCCAACAGATGGCGTCAGAAATATATATTTTTTCCCCTCGGGGTATGGTATAAAAGGGAATGCTGTGCTGTGTGTTTATTAAACATAGTCTTGCTCTTAAACAGTGACTATTTATATAAGCTGCCTTTATCTGTTTTCTGTACAGGATTTGGGGGGGGTTCCCATCCATCATGCCAGTGTTGAAGATGATGATTAAGAAATTAGTCTACAGTTTTGCTGATCTGAAACATATGACGTTGACTTATTGATATACGTAAGGCAGGCGTCTCCTATGAGAACAGCGGCTGAACGTCTAAATTCCCTCCAGTCACCCAGTCTCCTGTAGGGCTCGGCCAGACGCCAGCACGAACCTGCACGAACACTCCAGTACACCGCGCGGACTGGAGTACGGTATATAGCGTCACCGCAACCGGGACACGTCAACAGCTCAGCCACCATTCCACACATGACGCAATGGCCGCAGTTTGGCGCGAGGGCCTAAAAAAAAACGTTTCAAAGAAAAGTTTATGTTTTTACTGCCCCGTTCCCAGCCTTATCGCTTAAGGAAGAGATCATAAGAATAATGATAGGGTGATCAGAACACAAGAACCCGAGGAAGGCTGTAAAACAGGGGAGGCTATCTGCTTGCTGTTCAGTCTCCGTTCTCTGACTGTGACGTTTCCTCATTTAAGTATTTTACTTAAAAAAAAACCAAATCTATATAGCAACACGCACCACACACAATAATGTTACATAGTGATTGTCAGCAGATAAGGGTTATCCCCTGTGCTGTGCTCCCTCCAAAAAACTAGAAATGTAAAATAAACGAATGCCCTTGGTATAGACATATATGCCTTCGATTAATCAGCGAGCATGTCAATATACTTTATGAAGTCTTTACAGCCCTATGGCAGCGACACCAGCACGCAGAGGAACACGCTTGAGCGCCGGTACGTTTTCATGACGGATTCATCATTAAAGGCTCTTTCCATTTAAATAGGTTCAAGCAGCACCCTTGAGGCATTAGAGACAAATTGAACTCTCCCTGGTCCAATGGGGGTGTTCAAAATTGTGGAGCCCCTACTGCTCTAACAAACTCGGCAAGCTGTTAAATATAGCTAGATTGTCCCTGTTAAATATATTTGCGGAGTACGCAAATAAATAACTACCCTACAGTTAAAAGTCGGCAATAAAATGAATTATTCTTAGAGGCTCCGTTTAAAACTCCCCCTCCCCCTCTTCCATAATGGACCTATCTATGTTGAACAAACGTTAAAATACTTCCAATTTTTTTTCTTGGGATAGTAGTATACATCCAAAGGGTTTTCCCGATTTTCTTTTTACTGACATTGAACAAGGAAGCTTTACTCTGCCATCTGCACATCTTTTACTTTCTGCAGTCTCCCGGCAGGATCTTTAAGTGCAGTCGTGAAGTGATTCAGCCACAGACTTAAAACCAATTGAGCCTGGTTTTTGAAATTGGAACGGCTAAACAAATACACTATACCTAAACAACAAAAAAAAAAACTTTTTTTTTCCCCCCAGCACCATTGGATATAACCACAAGGAGGCGTCGTTTGCTTGTCTTTTGGTCAGCTTTTTGTACGGGGGGAAAAAAAAAGGCAGGGAAAAAAAATCCTCTTTTGAAGTGTTTATCCTGACGTCAGTTTGTGTGGTCCGTTGTGCTACAGCCTCGCTCGCGGAGTCTCTCAATATCGTTTCAGCACGAAATCAGGAATCAATGGGCTCGAGTCCTCAACTTCGCACCAGTCCTGGCGGAGACACTGTAATGATTTCTGCTGAAAAACCGAACTGGACTAAAACCGTACAATGAATACCCTGGCTTTTCTTCTGATACTTGCTGTACGCATCTACGCTGATGGCTCAGAAGCGCCAACAGGTAAGGCATTCGCTGGGTGTTAAGTTTAAACAGTGGTGGGTACTTCAGTTGCAAAGTTATTCATGCGGTTCGGCGACATATGGTATTTCGCTTTAACTGTGGCGAAAATTGTTCCCTTAGAGGAGGAGTGTCCGCTGCTTTTTATTACTGCGGAGTTCGCCTTTTCTTTCCTGTTCGGTCTCAAGAGGAACTAAGGGGAGAGAATTTTTCCTGCGAAGTCACCCCCCACCCCACCCCCTCTGCTTAAAAAAAAAAGAAAATAACTTTTTGGATACACCGTAGCGCTGCGTATTGACAAAAAAATGGGACGCAACCTTGCTTTGCGGATGTTGTGCAACTTTATTTTGACATTGAAAGAGCCGGAGCGCCTTTGATAAATACGCTAAGACAGGTCGTGCTGCGCTCCCTCTAGACTGGGACAGATCAGCCTAGGAGTCTCGGCTGAGTTTTCGTACTCATGAAATGTCACTGCATTGGTAGCGTTGAGTGTTTTATCGTTAAAGGAGATGGTGTGTAGTTCATACTTCTGCCAATTTAACATATTTCAAGGTGTTTTCTAATATACGTTTCAGCTCTCAACCTTTCTAACCTCACGGGAGCGATTTGTTTCATTTTAATAAGACACTGTAATTTTCGTGCAGCTGGTGTCAGTTTGTATCAGTGTTGCTTTTAATCCTGAAAGTGTGAATTTTTTTGGGGGGGGGGTGTACTTTAACCGTCCAACCGAAAAACCGAAGCTGTTTTTTCAGAAATACTACATAAAATACATTTATCAGAGCGAAACTGTGAAATGTGAACATGCTTTTAATGTCTCATTGTGTTCTTTCTACTTTGCACCAGATTTCGGAAGACTACTTTCACAGTCAATACGTTACTTTTCGGTCAGCGGTCATTACGAATACTATGTTTCTGATGGGGCACCTTTCTTACAATATTTTGTACGGCATTGAAGATGGCAGATTCATTGATGCTAATTTTACCATAAGGAAGGACCAAAGGTAGCCTCAAGCTGTTGAGCGGGTGTGAGATTTGAAAGCTGATGGCCGTTAGCCATACTTCAAGCGTACCAGTGACCCTGTTTGGCAGATTAATTGAATGCTGTTCGCAGAATTCTGTACTGAATGATAGGTGCTCTGTTAAGGGTGTTTTTTTTAAAATAAAAATTAAGTGTCGGAGATTTGGCGTTTAAATTGAATTCCGAAAGGTTGAACAGAACAGGGACGATTGTAAATATGGACATTTTCAGTCTGGAAAAATTATTAAAATCAAAGAGCAGTTGTTTTGTGGTTAACAGCTTCATTTTCGGATTTGTACACAATTTCAGTGCTCCCCTTTCTTGTGCATGATTTACCATTTGATTATACTAATTCATACCGCTTACTATAGACTTGTGAATCTGTTAATGAGACTTATTTAGTTACCGTGTTTAACTGTGTTGAACTTGCCCTGTTTAGCTGTGTGCATAATGTTTTTGATTTTTCACACGAGAAGGTGTTAAAATCTCGTGAACCGTGGTTTCATAAAACCCTAGGAAATATGTGACGGCCATACACTATACTTTCAATTATCGTCTAGTAAAATAACTCGTATAAATTATCTGCTGCTGCCGTTAATCAAAGTCGTTTATGATTCTGTGATTCGTTATTCCTTCCCACTCATGCAGTTAACCTTCCATTAATCCATCCTTTGCGGATGCTAATATTTAAAGTACCCTGTGATAGTTACGCAGTGCTCCGTCGGCTCCTGACTATTGTCATTGAGGGCAACAGCATTTAGCCAATAGGATTAACGAGGATCTGATTAATGTGTACGAACTATGTACTTTTCTTTTATTAATGGAGAGATAATGGGCAATTCCTCGTTTCTTTTGTGGGAAACAGACATTGACAATGCTTAAAGCGTGCTACAGTTAGCTAATACGGACAGGTTATTTAAGAAGCCCTTTTAAATACACCTCACGGTCTACAGCTGGCTAACAGTCTTAATAGTCTGCGACTACAGTGATAAACTGTTCACATAGGAACGCATTTTTCAGGACAGGTGACGGAATTAAGAGCGGTTTCATTGCCATTGTTAAGGCATTGGTGAATTATGCTTTCACTACATTTGGATGGTGGCCCATTTATTGATAACTTTTCGATGTTGAAACGATTCAAAGTCGAAAGCTCCAGTTTCCGCGCTCAGACGCCCAAGCTTCACGTCTGCAGTGTAGAGGGAGAGAAAAGCGACGCCTCCACTTGGGAAAACAACTATCCACTGACCTGGCAACATTTGTATAACGTCAGTGTGGGCTACCTGCCTGTGATGGAGTAGTTCATCTGAAATTCAGACTGAGACATTTGAAAGAAAGAAGGCTATGCGCGCATGGAAAAGGACTCTGGTATCACAAAAACGCTACTTGCAGTCAAGTGTTATGTGTAGTTCATATTAAAACTCACACATTTAGATCGTGTATGTAAAATGCTACCGAGTACAGCCTAAGGAGTAATTGACATTGAGTGTTCATTCATAAGAAAACATAGGGTTAGTCTATCCTGTACATATCCCGTTAAGTGAAGCAAAGACGGGAAGTATTTTGTTGCCGATAGTAACCGGCAGTCATCTTGGATAGCGGTCGAGGTTCAGTTGACGAAGTGGTCCGCATTTAGCAACCTGTCGCGTCGGGGGGCGACGTGCCCGCTTTTGTGTGCGGGCACCACCCTCCCCCGTCGCGAACCGTCCCATTCTGTCTGACTTTTGTGACTATAATCCTGTGTTATTTTGGACAGTGGCCACTTCCTCTTCTGAATCAGCTACACTCGGGTTGGCGACCGTTCGTTATAAAGCCGTGGCGCGGGGTTTGTTTTCAATTAGGAGTTTATTAAAACCAGACTCCCCCTCGCCGTGTGAGCCAAATGGAATAGTATGTTGAAGGAGTTTTTTTTTAAAAACAAAAGCCCCTTCCTCTCCGTTCTTAATTTTCGTCCGCCCCATGCTTTGAAAGAAAAGTCATAATTCAAGAAACTTTTTTTTTTTGAGGGACTACTTTTAAGTCGCTTCCTCTCTTGTTTGATCTTCCTGTTTTTTGTTTTTTCCTTTGGGGGGAAAAAAAGACACCTGTTCTCCAGGAATGTGTAATAAATATTTGTCTCATTCAGGGGGTGATCGAGTGTCCCAGAGCGGCGCGCAGCTGTGTTGGGGCTTGAAGATCTTAAAATTCTTCATGGGGGGCGCCTCTAAAATGACAGAGCCGAAGTACTTGCTATTTGCTTAATATTATTGCGTCCTGTTTTTCTTCCCAGCTCATAGACTTACACAAGCGCTGCGATTTGCCGTTCGTTTGATGGCACTCAACATTCAATAAAGTACACTGGGGAACATATCCCCCTCCCACCCGCTTGAAATGTTGATGATAAGATAAAAAGCAACTGAAACGACATTCCGCTTTAACCCCTTCATATCCGTGCCATTTTAAAGAGGGCCGTTAAACGATTCAGGCAGTTATGAACAGATCTTTTTTTTTTCCTGCTCGAGGAATGTGTAAATATGATTGATGCCATTGATCTGAACTGAATGATTGTATTATGCAGTGTTCGAAGCTCCAGTATGAAAGGTGTGTGTATATATATATCTCCGAGTTTATGTGTTTCTTATTGAGTTTATTCGTTGTGTATGCAGTGAGGCGCTTGTACAGGAATAAACAGTTCTTTTTTTCTGTGTGTTATTGCAGTGCGTCATTTACTGCTAGCGATAAGCGTACTGCGTTCCTTTCCTTATCTCACCTGTACCTGACGGTTGTAATGCTGCCTCTTTCAAATGTCAGCTCAGTGCTTCTTTTGAACTTAGAAAGCTGATTTCCCCTCTTGTCCGCAGTGATTTAACAGAAAAGCTATTAGTGGATTTTAAATATTTATCTGGGCTGCCGTACTCAATATCTACATTCCCTGCGATTCGCATCCTACACGCGGCTACACCAGGCAATGTTCCTATTAGAAATGGCTGCAGGTGGTAATTGGAGAGTTCGGACATCTACAGTATGTTGCCAATGAGGTCTCATAAAGATGGGATACATACTCCAGTTAACGGTGTAAAAAGCGCAAATTGCTGTAACCCACCCGTCTTCATTTTATTGCTCAATCACAACCTGTTCACACAGTGCATTACTTCCATTCACAGAAACAAGCAGTACACCCCGCTGATTAACGAAGGTTAGAATGATTAGGAAATAGTATCATGCATACAGTTAAGGGCTATATAATGTTAAAAATAACGTTGCGGGGGGGAATCGCTTTTAATTTACTTCCAGACACGTTTTCAGACGACTTTGAGATTTCGCTTAAAATATTATTTCTTTCGGAAGTGCTTAAATTGCATCGCTAATTGAGCCCCGTGAGGGGCCAACTTCACAGAGCTCACAAATTGCTGTTCACTCGCTCGATTGAACAAGCAGGATCAATTGACTCGGGCTGTAGTCGTGGTTAAACGCGAATCTACTCGCCATTACTAACTAATGTTTGCTCTGCTCAGTCGCTTGGATTCTTTTATCTTGCGATTCCTTTCCCGCTTTAAAATATTAATCCATATACTGTATTTGCCCCGACTCTTCCCTCTGCCGCAGCCACACATCACCGGAATGCAGGATTATAAATAGATGTAGAAATAGACTCGAGGAAACCTGAGACCTATATTATTGGTGCCAGGAGCGCAGAGAATGAAAAACATATCCGTCTGCTGCAGTCTGACTTAAAAAAAAAATACCTGACCGCACAGTTGTAGCTGAGGCAGGAGTGCGCCGGGAGACGCAGATCGGTCGTTTTGCACTTGAGCTCAGCGTCTTGAGTTTTATACAGGACGTGCAGCGAGGCTGTGACCACAATTACAATAACAGCGTCTAGCGTCAGACGCAAACGATTATCGCAGAAAGTACTTGTAGAAAATGTTCACATCATCTCCTCATAAATGCTCAAAATGAAATACAAATACAATGGTCTACGCCATGTTTTCCTTTGGAGTAATGCAAC